ATACTGACTTCTCCCAAATTACTTATTTGCACCATACCACACTAAATGTCAGACGTTGGCTCATAAAAACAGAATTCTTAAAGTTGTAAAATTACATGTAGTGTTCCACTCCATTCTGATCGAGACGTGTTAGTCAAAAATGACTAATTGTAACTTGAAAGATTCTTCTGTTATTTATCTAAATCGTGTTGATTTCATGGTAGTAAAACAAGACGGATGTCCAGAAGTCATGTTTAATTGCGTTTCCTCTGAAAGTATAAAGCTACAGCTTTGTCAATTTCAAGCATGAAACATGGCTTTCACGTTAATTTGACGTGTCAATCTTTTGTATCTTCCCTCGTGACCGCAAACAGAATTCATCAAAACATGAACGGGACGCTGGAGACTGCTCTGTAATAATTCTTTCATCCTAATTGAGATTGTCTGTACTCTAAACAGATTGAGTTTCCAATGCCCTTTAATGACGTCATGTCAGGTGGGATTGCGGATGCCCCTCAGTGAATTTACGCCGAAAATTAGCATGCCACGACCACAACAAGCAAATTGTCAAGCCAGTGGAAATCAGAAAAATCAGAGCATAAGTATATCTCCAAGGTGGTGTATCACACAATGTAATGATACAAGACGTCGCTAATGAGATAAAACCTCAGAATATCAATGAACCAACAACGTACTTTTACATATTATCGTTGATGATGTGTTCAACGCAACTCAAACAATGCAGCAAGCTACATCAAAAACCACTCTTCTTAAGACATGCATTATTGGTACATTCTTGATATAAATACTTGACATGATAAATACGACTACTATTGTGAATAATGATACGACATAATGATTAAATCAAATGTCTTGCTACGATCGCTACTGAGAATGATATACATGTTTACCAGACTTGTTACGATCACGAGTGAAAATGATATCCAAGTATGACGACATGATTAACTATAAGACTTGCTACGATCACGAGTGAAAATGATATCCAAGTATGACGACATGATTAACTATAAGACTTGCTACGATCACGAGTGAAAATGATATCCAAGTATGACGACATGATTAACTATAAGACTTGCTACGATCACTACTGAGAATGATATCCAAGTAAGACATGATTATCTCTAAGTGTTGCTACGATCACAATGTAAGACTTGCTACGATCACTACTGAGAATGATACACGTGACATGGTTAATTATAAAGACATGCTACGATCACTACTGAAAGTGAGAATGATATCCAAACATGACATGATAAAATCGAATGATATACAAACACGACATGATAAACTCTAAGACTTGCTAAATATACTTGTAACAGCATCGCATAATAAACTTAGAAACAACATAGGGACAGTTTCCAAACACAAAATCCAATCATCCAGGAAAATAACGAAATGAATTCAAACTGACGTTTATTAAATCTCTGCAATCTAACGTGATTTCTTTGATTCTTCCTTTATTTGCAGTGTGTGATAGGCTACGAGTTGACTAAAATGTATTTTGCCGATCTTAAATTTAGTTGAGTCAACAATTGGCAATTACTTGTAAGTAGTTTAAAAAGTTTCTCTTCGTCCTAATGCATTTTCGACGTCACTTATTTTTGGTCGTGTCTGCCCTACCTTGCGCCCAGAGTCTAGTTATAAACTGAAGACGAAGCTCTCTTTTAAGAAGCGAAGTCGAACGAATGCAAAGGGTATTTCTGCGCGTGGTATGACTATGAGGAAGCATGCATTTGATAGAAGTGCCCAAATTAACAGTCTCGTTATAAACAGTCTTCCTTTAAGTGAAACGGAATGATCTTTGGTATTATAACATACTGATTTGAATACGCGTCTTCGTCCTGTAATGTTGTTTTCATAGACATGGAAATTTTAGCATGTTTTAGAAGGCAAGTGCAAATCTAATTATCCCTTATCGACGTATCCCCTAGATTACCAAATCTTCAGCTTTTATCATACTGTTATATTGTTGATACTTCATATTCTCTCCCACTTTGTAATTCAATAAATGTAGAAAACTCATTATTTTCGGCGTGAAAAATCTGCATATTTATGGGGCCGTGGTGTGTAATTACTACAGTGATTTCACTGGAGATACGGTCTTTAAGATTACGTATGGACGCGTCATGAATCTCAAGTATACCACAGTACAACACCGGGTTCCTCTTCAGATTAAACAATATTATTGCCCTTTCATGTATTATTAAATAACAATGGAAAAGCTGAGATATTGACAATTTTATTAATTATGAAATTGCATGGTTATTAGAATAGGCATTCAGGATAATCCTTAGAATGGATTGTCTTAATCCCCAGCGGAAAAGGTCAAGTAATTACAATACCGTGATTATATCTTTAAATACATATTAAGGACCCCAGCGCCCCATTATTGGTGGACGGACGCATTTGTTTCTGTTTCTCGGGGGACTCGAGAGAGGTCTGGCAATCGTGTTTTGTATTGAACTAGGGCATATCTTTCCAATATTCTTACAATTTTGTTGAGCTAAACTAACATGCAATAGACCAAAAAGAACAGTAATGGCTTAAATTATAATTCCGAAGTTTGTTTCTTGGAAAAATGCAGACATGTTTAAGATGTAGCCAATCAGAAATCGAGGATTAAATGTCCCTAGTTTTAATACATTACAATTTTGCCAATCCGTGTTTTAAAAATATGTTATCAGTTATCAATGGGCAAAACAGAGTGTGATTGAAAATCGTTTCAATACGGCAAATGTCTTAGCGATGACCTCTCTATGCACAGGCTAATGACGATTAAGATATGGGGTTATAATTCCATATTTCTCGCAATTCCCTAACTAGGCATTATCATCCATTGATTGCGTTCTGATTTTAATAAGTTGCAAGATAACGACAATCAAGGGTGCAATAATGACTTCAAATACGTGAACTGATTAACTTCGATACCAGATAGGAATTTCTGATTCGAAAATCGAATTGCGAATATTTTGACTCAAAACTAACAAAAGCTTTTATTGAACATTTCGACGCAAGCATCGGAAAACAAATATCAAATCACAAACCTTGTAAAGGATACAAAATGTGGAATATACAACTGCTTATTGTTTAATAAAATGATATCGTGTACATACAAGTAGGATTAAAAAAAGTCGAAAAGGTGCATCAATCATACGTATACAAAGAATTCCAAGAACAAAATTGATGTTGCAATGACCACTTATACAAAGAAAATCAAAGACGTTTGATGAAATCGTATGCAAAATATGAATTGAGAAAAATATACACTCTCAGATTGAATGAACGATCCAAGAATACCTATCATCGGGATCCCTTGATGAAAACATCAATCTCATAAACTAACATTCAATCATTTTCCTTGAAAATGGACGACGTCTCTCGTTTGTCAAAAGTATATAGAGTCTAGAAAGCCACAGACAAATCAGTGGCCTTTTTCGTTTGTATAACCATCATATTTTGCTTTGTTTTACAAAAATAAATAAATTAGGCCGTTATGACTTTTTATAGATGAGTTGGATCCTTAGAGGAATCATCTTCAGTCAGACCTGATTGCCTCTTGGATGAGATTCTTTGAAACAGACATCTCTTAATTTTCTAGATAATTTTCAGTAATTGTCACAAGCTAGGCGGAGGATTGGTCATTTAGGATGTCCCCCAGGCACGACTACGATGCTATGATTTATTATCTCCCTTTACGATCTGATAATCAAGTACAATGTAGTTTTCCTGACATTTTCAGATATTGGAGCTAAAAGTCTTGGCACAAATTCGTATTTTATAACAATAGTCTAGCTAGTTCCAAATGATGATGATATAGATTCGAAATAGGCTTTGAATATATATATAAATTAATCCTCCCTTGATATAACGTTTAACCCTGCCATGGTGTATCGTTCTTAGAAAGATCATGGACCTCTGCCCATGGTAAGATTGACTCCATAATGACAGATTTCTATTTCAGAAATTAAAAGCATCGCACATGTTATGTTGAATGAAATATAATAACCGTTTTATCTATTGACATAAACTGACGGTGTGCCATACGGGACCTATAATTCATCTTGGTGCAATTTCATATGAATTTAATAAATGTATACGATACAGATCATCATAGTCTACTCTGTATTGGATTTACAATGATATTAAAATTTATTGGTGAGATTGCTTTAGTATTGATTGTATTTGTTCTGTTCGAGATCATATAATCATTATTATTTTAAAAAACAGAAAGAGGAACATCATGACAAAAATACGGAAACGACACCCCAATATCCCAAAATAATAAACTTACAGTACAATAACGATGTACATGGTGAATAATGAAATAGGCAAACTCTGACATCAAGAACATTTAAAGAAGAAAGCAATCGTATGATAACACAGTATTTAGTCCCAAATGTTAAAGGACAGATAAAATCCATGAGAATACCAATACATGCCATACATTAAGAAATGTGATCATCCACATTACTATAATGAAAAAGGAGCTCGATGTTTATCTTTTGTTTTATATTTTTTAAAATTACTCTTGAGGCAATGCTTAGTTATAATTTCTGACATGTTTGGCGATCAAGTTTTACAACAAATCAACAGATGATCTTATCTAATACATGCAGTAAATAATAGCACTTCCTTTGGAGCTTAATTCTGATCAGCTGCATGTCGTTCCCCGACGCGAATATAGGAGGAAATAGCATGATATGCCTATAATCTAAATAAAGGTCTAGATTATAAGAAAAACAAAACAAGTATCAGTCATTTTGTAACACTGCATTTTATCGGTATCGAATCATATTTTACAGTTTAGTACAACGACTAAAGTCTATACCAATATATAATATTTGCAAACAAAATATGGCCAGGTGTAAAAGGGTAGGAGGTCCTATCAAAATATGGTCATACTCTTCATTGATTTATATGGTGACCTCTTCCCCTTATTATCTTATACGCAATCAGGGCCAGTAAGGGCCATTAAGAAAAGGGACCATAATCCCTGGGGGACCATCATTTCTTTCACACCGGCTCTGGAGTTTGGTCTCTCAGTTCATGAACCTCAGGAATGGCATGTTTCACAGAGCCTGCATACTTCAATACCTTATAAGGTCTCTTTGTGATATCCTTCAACATTTGTTGTATAGGGGAAAATGCTTCTTGTAGAGATTGTGAATTGACTGTATCAAATATGTTAATGTTTCTAAGCAGGTAATGCGGGCATGTGGCAGATTTGACCATATCTCTGAGCTTAGTCAAAACGACTATGAAAATATCTCCTGGTGTGCGAAGTTTTGCTGCTTGACGTTTATGTTCAATGAGCATGATCGTCTTCAGAATGTCAAATCGTAGAACTGAAGCAGCACTATCATTCAGATTTCTCCTAATAGCCTGCATGATATACAAAACATCATCACAATACCCAAGTTCATTCACTTCTTCAATGTTCTGAAACAAACGAGTCATAACTGTAGTGAAGCTAAATTTCCACAAGCGTGAAGATCTGTCCAGGTCTTTGAGTACTCGTGAGAATAACTTCACGCCTTCGAGTTTAGTTGTTCCGGTCAATGGCCGGGCCTCCAAGAACCACATAGGTTGACCATCAGCCATTTCTTCCTTTATCTCAGCAATGCACCGTTGTCCTAGTTTCAGATATGGGTTAAGATTGGGCAAAGCATGATGCAATGAAACTCCTTCAGGCCACCCTGTCCCCATGATAGCCGGGAATATATTTATAGTGCAACTGGGCAGACAGTCTGTGAAATCATTGGGTTGTGCTCCGTCTACCGGCGGAGGGATATCGTACACTTTCAACGTGACCATTGGGAAAGTGACGAACATCTCTATCTGTGCCATTTCTTCATCTTCATCCTGGAGCATCTTTAGCGCCTGGGCCATGCCTGGAATGAATAAATATTCCATGGAAGAACAAGCTAATATGATATGACCCATATGTGATATATTATAACCAAGAAAAAAAGCAACATTCGGAAACATAAAACAGCCCCTATGATAGGCTACACACATGTGTGTTGAGTTATCTGTGTCGCTCAGGCATTTCATTATAACATGCAATAATTCTAGTTCAATGTTATAATGTTGCAATTCAAAATACACTTTGAAAAATTGATTGGCGTACCATAACTGAAATCACTTTTACAATACATTGCAAAGTAGCTTGAAAAAAGCTGGTGCCTTCGGGGGTGAGGCACGGTGGAGGGGAGGGGGCACAGTGATGGGGAGGGGGGTATGGGCGTAGGCGTTCAGGAACATGGTACAATACAAAGTAACAGCAATGCTTACCATCAACAAACCAGAGATACATAGAGGCAGGGGAGAGGAAATCACTCTCGTCTATGCAATGTCTCCATTCATTCCTGATTGCAACTTTCTCTTCATTGGTATTACTATTCTTCATCTGATAGAAGGCAAATCCTGGAGGGACATCTTTGTTCAGACCTGATACTGTCTGCAATTAATATGGTAAAATGAATCAGAGCTAGAATCAAAATCAAAGATATAGCAGGATAGTAGGGATGACACAACTGTAAACAAAATTTACAATTCAACAATGATTCAACATGTTCATCAAATTATGATAAAGGTGTTGAAATATATATATATTATGTTTGATAAAATATCGATCATATGTTAAAGAATGTAAGCACAGAACTCAATGGTCTATAGCAGTAGATTCTTATTTGCAATAACTGGCAGCCCGAACATATACCAATACAATAACCGTATACAATAAATCAGGCATAATTCTAGATCTAGATCTAGGGGTAACTTATTCCAAAATATATTCGGGTTAGTATGTGAAACATTGCACGTACATGGGCGTTCAGTGCTGGTAAGAAACTGGCGACGCATTGATAAAGGTGTCATCTCAGGAATCTGTCCTTATCGAATGTAATTTGCATGGATATCGTTTTATAACCCATGAGCTTGTTAAACACGAAGTGCATTAACATGAATATCCACGTTTACCGTCATCTGTTCAAGAGACGACCAAGAATAAAAACTTGAGGAACACCAGTAATATTTACCTGAAAGCATCCGCGGTGAATATCTCGCTTCATGAGAACCCTGCATTGAATCTCATCGATATCAGTCTGGTAAATCCAGGGACTTTGCTTGTAGTTGACACCATCTGAAAAAGTATACACGATGCTACAGTACCATGTAAGTGATGTAGACTGTTACCATACGCCATATGCAAGTTTTGGAAATGAAAATGTAATAGCGGGCAATAATATAGGAGAATGGATGAAATAATCTAGATTATTATCACATTGGCGGGCCTGTTCTAGGGGTATTAGTCCTAGTTTAGAAGGCATCTATTTAAGAAATATAGACCGAAGAGTAGGGGTAATATACACCCCGCAGGGCTAGGCACAAACGTTTTCTGTACCCCGAACGACCAAAGGGAGTGAGCGGTTCGAAAGCTTTTGTGCCTAGCCCTAGCGGCTATATAAAAGACAAAAAGGCCATGTTGCATAAGAGTAACCTATCGGGCAAGGGAAGGTCATGCATACCAAGGTCCTATATTTTTTTTAATTTTCAAAGATGAATTATATATTTCCATGTAGTATGCTATACCTGCATCCTTTTCCAATGCAACATTTTTCACATTGAGGAAGTAACGCTTAAACAATGGCTCGATCTTTTGCACCAGTGTCAACAATTTGTTGCAAACACGCGCCCCTGTCTCTAAATTCCTCAATTGCTTCGTATGCAGTTGTTTTCCTGTCTCCATGGATATCATACGACAGAATATGGTTAGATCTTTACGATCCATATACCACGGACGATCAGGGATCTTCTCCGAGGCTCGGGCAGCCTCGTTGGTAATTGATGACCTCTGACCCGAGAGCGGAGAAGGTTCTTTGACATCGTCCTCCGTATACATGGACATACTATCACCATCATACTCATATTGATCATCGTTGGTCTTATCCATATTTTTCTAAATTTTTAACAATATTGTTTGCTTATTCCTGTTGATGATATCCTATTTTTAGTCCATACCTTGTGAATTAGTCAATGGAAAAATTATAGCAATGTGTACCGAGATATGTTTTTTTTAATATCAGACAAGTATTTCAACGACGGTTCCTATTCATTCAACAACAATGTCTTCAATCATTTTATTTAGTGTTAATTTCTTCTTGGAGACCATTATTTGGTTAACATCCAAATCGGATATTATATTACAATACAATCGGGAGAATTATATAACTATAATCTCTTGTGAATAGATAGCTATTCAGGCCAAAACCACATTATTTTAAGCTCTTAGTGGATTCCTTGATTTTGCATACGGTTTATGTTTCCTAAATCAAACAACAGTCTCGAATATCAGCTATATTTAGGGTCTAGATCTGAGGCCCTTGAATGCCAGGCTATCCATATATTTTATATTTGCTTATTTAAATAGATGTCGCTAGTATAACTCTAAATACTAAATATTGTGATGAAGTATAAAACACTCCTCTCCATACACATCTTGCCCATTGTTTTTCTAAAAATGACGTGAGATTCCTTACAGCAAAAAATGCATACTTCGTCCAAGGGTACTTCATTTTTTCATAAGCTCATCGATGACCGAAATTGGAAATAATTGATAAATGAGAAATTAAGCGACAATTTTACATACCTTGCAATTAAAACCCAACCAAGACATTGTCTTTCGCTCCGAGTCATTTATACAGGAACTTTAGCAGGGCTGGTAAGGGTGCCAGAAGGGGGCGGGATCAATAATAAATCCTTTGGATGATGTTGACATTTCTGTTACCAGGTCACATCAGCAAAACAATAATTACTATATAACAAATTTCCACCAACAATAGCAAAGTTTTTGAAAACCAGGACACTTACTGCAAGCCTTGAAACCAGGTATAGGATCATCTGGTTTCCTTATGGGGAGCAATGTCTCAGAGGCTTTGGGACTTTCCTTCCTAAATCTTGAGTGCAGTCTACGGAATATATGCCATCCACGAATGTAGTTACTGTAAAATACATGGAATTCTTTATCCTGGTTTAAGCAAAGTTAAAGGAATGTGTTCTGTCATTATTCAAGTCATTTTATCTTTATTTGACAATAATATTCTATTTGTCAATAATATTAAATATTCTTTTCTTTGTATATTGATCAATTAAAATGAACTTCCGTAATTAACTAAAGTATTCTGTCATTTTGAACATACTTATCTTAAATAAGATCACGCCCGGTGATTGGAAAAACGGGACGGAGGGAGTGGGGGGAGGAGGACAGACAATTTTTGCTAGAAAATTCAACAAATCTCGAAGATTTTCATCTTTTTTTTTCTTAAATCACTTTGGCTTATATTGTTATCAAAGTGTGGTATGTGAAAGTCTTTTTTTTAATTTCAAAAAGTGGATTTGAAGGACTTTTTGTCCGAAAAATCGTGAATTTGTTCAAAACTGACTTTTAGAGGCAATTATATGTATCTTGAAATAAGCGAATAAGCGATAATTCATACCAGTGTATAGCATTCATCCTCAAATGTTTTTTGGCGAAAAAAGTGAGAAAATCGGTTCATAAATAAGCGAGACACGAACTCATCAATGCATGAAAGTGGTTCAGGGAAAAATGCATTTCAAAATTATAGTTCTCATAGAAACAAATGGTACAATAATATCTCAGACATAATATATTATTCCTTTTAACCTGATTATACAATCATTATTGGTTTATTTTTGAAGTTTATCATATTTAGAAATGATTGAAATAGAAATTTCAATTGATAAAAAAGTTTTTGCCACCTGAATGAGTCATGATGACATCACTTAGGTTGCAAAATAGTTTTGATATGCTAAACATTGAAGTGGCACATTATATATGGCATTTGATTATTGAAATAGTGTTTCCTTTGTTCATTCTTTGCATTGATGTTGAAAAGATAATCTTTTTTGAAATGTATGGTGGAATATATTTGACGATTAAATTTTTTTAACTTTTTGGAAAAGTGGAGGGAAATTTGAATATATGGGAAATGAAAAGCCGACGACTGTTTTTTCAAAAACATCTAAAATAACTTTTAAAGTCATGACAAATAGTAAATAAATGAATGATAAAAACATATTTTCAAACTTTACACGGGGACTTTAACAGGTAACATGTGATGAGAATTTTTGTAACATTCTTACTTGTGATGCGTTCGTTTTAATTGTTCACCTTTAACTTTGTATATAAGTCTTAGGTTGGATGACAGGTCTTTACACTTCTCGCTGCCGACCTGGAAAATAATTAACTTAACAATGTTAAGAAATTGATGAAATAATAACTCAAAACAATTAATAAATTAATATGAGAGAAATATGAGAGAAATATGGGAGAAATATGGGAGAAATATGATTCAATTATGTGTACTGTAAACTTCAAGAGATGAAATATATTTGGAGCAATTTTGAAATTTTCCAATATCCTTATCCCATTGATTTCATGTGAAAATCATACTTTTGAAATCTCAGATGGACTTCTTCAGATTGGGGATAATGCCATGTGTGTTAAAAATTTGTTGCCTTGCTATTTCTATAAACATAAAAATGTCAGTAATTTATCCAAGTCATATGATTTAATAATTTGTTTAATACTATGATCCCAGTGTCTCGGATGTGATTATTTTTTGTTATGCTATGTTATTATATAAACTACTGAATACATTTACTTACTTGGAATCTCCACTTGGGTCCCTCCTCAAGATCATCTGATTGTCTAGGAATTGACATAATTATCCTGGGAATTAAATGTTGCTCATTTGTTGGTTCACAATTGTCACTATGTGGAGCATTCTTTAAATGTGTTCTAAACTCTATATTGGTGAATATTGGATATTTTCTACTCTGTTTATTTATTCATGTTCTGGTAGTAGCATAGCTGAAAAAGAAAGAATCAGTTATTGACAGATTACATTTTTACTCCATGTTTTTCCTCATTAACAGGCAGATGAAGTCTGATCAGAGGGCAGAATGGCTCAATATTTTATGCCTTAATAGAGATTATGACTATTTTGAATAATATTTGAGAAAAAATATCTAATACAATTATAATACATCATTATGAATATTACCAAAATAAATAAAAAGTCATATTCATTATCAATTTTTTACAGATTTGTTGTACCAGAGTTTTTAAAATTCTATTTCTACATACCCGTTCTATAAACATATAGAAATGTACAGTAGAGTTCATGAAGAGCAATACATGTAACTTGACAATACCATGGTCGCAGTCAATATCCAAATTCATTGGAACAACATCAGTAAAAGTGATTGTATAATTGAACAATAATTCTATGATCCTTTCCCCATATTGAGTTTATTCTATGGCTCACAATACGTTCTACAATAGGGACTAAGTAAAATAAGCTCCACAATTCAGTTTAACATATCACAGATATCCATGCTAAATTCTCACTATATGACCAGGCTTATTCCAAACATTTCCTTTATAAAACAATTTAAATATTTAATATTTGACAATCCTTCACTATTTTCAATATGAACTATAAAACAGTTGGCTTAATTTCTCAAAAAATCCTCTCAATTGTACTTTAAAGACATAATCATCCAGATACTTTATTTGTGGGTTCATGATACCTTCTCATAATAGTAACTATATTCAAATATAGTGTTTCAAATAATAAACATGACATTAACTGGGTGATCGATGTTATGAATGTATAACTTGGAAGTAAATTATGAATACATTTCAAGTTGAATAAACAGCTTCAGGAAGTTCAGGTCCGTAGCCAACTTTTGCCAATGGGGGTTCACTTTTTAAAAGGTCCAAAAATGGTCAAAACCGCTTAAAAAGTTCTCAGCATTGTAAAAAATATGTTGTATATTTAAACTTCAGGCCCATTGCCAGGGTTGATGGGTTTGAGCACCCCCCCCCCACACACACCTTCCGGCCAAAACCTCTTTCAAAATTATGCAGTTTTTCATCATTCTGAGCACATTTTAAGTTATTTTGGCCATTTTTGGACCAAAATTGTCAAAAGTGAACCCCCCTGGAAATTTTCAGAAAGTGAACCCCCCTTGGCAAATCCTGGCTACGGGCCTGAGGCCCCCGGGCCAAAATTTCTTTTCAAATCAAGCAGTTTTTCAACATTCTGTGCACTTTTCTAGTGACTGGTCATATTTGGGCCAAAATTGTCAAATGTGAACCCCCCTGGAAATTTTGAAAAGTGAACCCCCCTTAGCAAAACCTGGCTATGGGCCTGCATGTCTGTATGGGGTTTATGAGAATCAAGAACAAACTGCTTTATAAACAACTTACAGCATCTAACTTAGTCTGAGTGAGCTGGTTTCAGGACACATGAATATTCTGCAAGATGCAGGTCCATGGGTAAAATTATGCATGTAATTCACAAGGTTATACTCATATCACCACTTTGAACAAGTGGTACTTCCTTAAGCAAAGAGAAATTGTTGCCATAACTCTTCAATACAAATACATGATACATGATTCATAAAAATATTTTTTATTTCACAACTGAATTAAATACATCATTGGGACAATACTTGAATGCAGACATATCAATACTATATTGACTACTGAATCAAAAGTAGATATACCAAAACAGGAGAATAGTCATACACATATATACAAGTGTATATAGGGGTTATGCACTGGGAGGTTTTGGATACAGGGAATATCCCGAGGGATATACAATATATCTTCCCGGGAATTTTTCAAAAGTTTAAAAAAGTTTAAATATCAAAAGTTTTAATTTTTTAATTTTAAAATTTAATTTTTTTAAGTTTAAATGTTACAATTTCATTGTATTGAACAAAAAGAATATTACGAAAATGTTAAGTATAAATATCTTGTCATCTGAAAAAGGTGGAAAAGGTTATATCTACCCTAAACCGAGGAAAGATGTATTGTATATCCCAAGGGATATTCCATGTATCCAAACCGACCGTGCATAACTGGTGTATCTCATACTTGGGATATACAATACATCTTTTTTTAGTCTATTGTACAAACATGTCTCAGGTTTGGGTAATTCCTGTTGTTCTGCACCAGACTGTGTTGTGATATGTCACAGTTGAAAGTTGAAACATTAAAATACAATGCAGTGACATGAGAAAATGTCACCACATGGTCAGTTATTGCAAATGTACAGTGTCATCACTTCCCAGTGGTGACACAAAATTTAAAACA